TACAGTATACAAGAAACATGTCTATTTACAGGAACCTTTAGAATTCCTATCACACTATTCCAAAGATATGCTGTATAACAAAGCATGTCCCTAAGCATTTGGGAGGCTTGTTCTGTGGCTCCATACTAATTAAAATCACTTTCTTTAGAATCTCTCTTTAGGTTCTAATTTCTCGAAAGTTTCCAGAATAATTTTCCATTTCTTCAGCAACCCAAGAGAGAATACATATAATTTGTAACAATGATATATCTTCTAATGGTGAAATAAGAAATTCCTGACCCTTCTCATAATCTCCTTAACTCTTCAGTTAATCTTTTTTTTTAAGTTGAGATCTCACTGACACCCGGGTTGAAACGCAGTAACATGATGACAGTTCGCGACCTCCTGAGCGATCCTTCGCTTCAACCTGCCAAGCAGCTACGACTATAGGTGAACACTACCACAACTGGCTATTTTTTTGTGTTTTGTAGAGATGAGGTCTTGCTATGTTGCTTAGGCTGGTCTTGAATTCCTGGGCTCAAATGATTCACCCACTTCAGCCTCCCAAAGTGCTGGGATTACAGGCATAAGCCACCACACCCTGCCCAGTTCTTTTGAGATTCAGCCACAGACAAAAACCAAATGATATGCCCCTACAGAAAATATTTCATTCTCTACTGACTCCCTCCCCAATCTTTCCAAATTAATAGTTGTCAAACATCCTTTGCAAAAACCTTTAATATGTTTAAGATATGATACATTCATTTTGTCATCATTTCTTTATTATGCATTCCCAAAAATATTTCTATCTCATAAATTATATTATGCTTCGTAATGCAGGCATGGGAATAGTTTGTGATTTTCTATACACTTTTATTCATACAGAGAAATAAATTGTGCATCAGAAACAAAACAGCTTGAACACAAACAAGTCACTGGGATAATCCATGGCTTATCACTCACTACCCCAATACTTTGTCCACTGAACTATGATGTCAGAAATCTAAGCCTGAATTGCTTTTAAGTGCATAATCCATTAACTGTTTCCATATGCCAGAACTATTCAGCTGAGAAATAATTTATAAGCCAGTGTACTGGTGCTATCTGACAAATATGACTCGCCTGTTATAAAACGTGATTACTTCAAAAAGCTAACAATTGTGGAACCACATTTTCATAATAAATCAATTTAACTGAATTAGACTATGCATATACTTTCAGAAAGTCCTTTAATCCCTATTAAGTTAACAGGTTGTGAACAATGAAAGTAATTAATATTAATTTTAGTTGACAAATCCAACACCAATAACCTATTAGTATACTCTAACCCATTTTCCGACAGCCTGTAAAAAATTAACCACAGATGCTTCCAATCTGGTAAAAAAAAAAAAACTCACAGGTTATTAGCATTACTTTGATGATACCAAATGTTTCATATATGAATATTATGATTACATTTCAGAGAGATATATAAACAGTGTTCTTTTATAACCTTGTTAAGTCTTAACAGAAGCTAAATACAGTAAAATATGGCAGTCTTTTCTAATATCAAAAGCAGCATTTGGATTTTCACTCCCCATTGTTATGCTTCAACTAAGAACTTGAGTTCCATTAAGAATGTAAAAGTAATATGAGTATAGGAAGTTTACCTGTCTTATTTACTCTAGTATCCCCAAAGTCAAACACAAGGCCCAAAAAGCAACATGCACCCAATAAACAGCAGTAACCAAGTGGAAAGAGAAAAAGTGGGATAAATCAAAGAGGAAGATTAGGGGGAAAAAAAAACAGAAAAAAAATAATCTGGAAAAATGCCCATACATATTTCCAGAGGAATTATTAATTTCCAGAGGAAAGGAAAAAAGGCACTTTCCCATGGAAACATTATTATAAATGATCACAGGGAGATTCGTTTAAAAAACAAGTAAGCTCTAACTGAAAGAAAAGTAGGAATATAATAAAGGGCAACAGGAATTAAGAGGAAATATCTAAGCTCTTATCAAGAATATCTTGCTATATCTAAAGGTAGGTGGGGCTGGATTCATTTTGGCATCATTTCTTTATTACTATGCATTCGGTACTGCCGGAGTCAGAATTGTTCTGCAATCAGCAGACCAGGAGAAGAGATCTCAGCTGAGATGTGGTAAAGATTAAACAAGATAACATGAAGACAACCCAGATCAGGTACTAACTGATACACCATGCTCAATAGGTATTATTAGTTCCTTTTCCTTCTCCAACTTTCAGGGTATTAGACATGTAAACCCCAGTAATCTAAGCATGAAAGGTTCTGAAAACCTAAATTAGTATCTACAGTAAGAAAAAAGTCATACTTATTTGACAGAAAATAAAGAATATGTCAGAGAAAATCTCAAAGTTCTCTATAAGTCGCTGGGATCAGTTCCTTCATTCTTACTACCTACCTCACATGCTTAGGAAGCATAAAGGATTGGTAACTTCCATTTTAAATGCCAGAGATAGAACATCCATCTTTGTAATCAGAGCAATAGTCCTGGTTCTCAGCCCAAAGAGTTACTACAATAAAAACCAAAGATACAGCATTTTTCTAATAATCTACTATTCTTCAGTAATTAGTGCCCTTCCCTGCCTAGTTGTGATACAAACCAATTATGAAAATCAGGACAACAGCCAATGTTTCCTTCTCCTCTTGCTAGCTAAGGAGTAGGGAGCAAAATGGATTTTCACTTTGGATTCAATAATGTATGTGACCAGGTTTAATTTTAAATTCTGCAGAAATAGCAAAACTAATTCAAAGTACTCTGGAGTCACACAGGACAGGCAAATGTTAACATTTGGACCTAATGCCTCAGCAGCCAGGTCAGGAATAGAGAGACAACATGGAGCAACCTGTCCACTCCACCAGTATTATCTAAGCTTTCTGGACATCATTCTCTTTCCTTCCCATCTGATCTTTCCTATTAAATATCTATACAAAACTCTGCTTCTATGAACACAGCAATGACTGAACTTGTTCATAAAATACTAGTAATGCCAAAAAAGCACACTTAGGACCCCTCAAATAATGCTTTCTAAGAATTAGTCTTTAAAATGAAACAAAAGTTAGTCATTTTCACAGCTTGTCACCAGTTAGCATTGAGAAATGTTACACTGCTCAGGGTCACAATCCTGGGCTTCCCCACCTTTTGTATCCACCCTGGAAATGTCATCAACTGTCACAGAAAAGAAAAAGCATTTGAGCTGAGACAGAAGATATGGTAGTCCTCTGCCAGACTCTAAGTCAAATGAAAGAGATTCCAGGCCAAGGGGCCAGCATATACAATGGCAGAGAAGAATAGAAATATGGAATAATCAGAAAATGATCACCATTTCTCACCCTAATCTTTATAACTTTACAGTATGTTTGTTTCAACCTTGAATCGCAAGGCTAAAGTTAGATGACTTAAGAATTTTTTAAAGGTTCAATTATTTCATTTAGGGCTAACACTACAGCTAAATTAAAGACATGCTAACAAGTTTCCCTTTTGAGCCTCATTAATTAAGAAAGTAATCAGAGTAAAGAGGGAAAAAAAGAAAGAGTATGGCAGCATGACTTAAATAGCTCTTAGGTACCACCGTTTGTACTTACTAGAAAAGCAAAAGGGAAACTAATCAATTCCAGATTATGAAATCTGAAATTCTGAAATGTTTTACATGTAAATGCACATTTTAACTGCCATATATTTTCCTTGATTGCCGGAAGAGTGCACTGATAGTATTCAAAGAAAATTCTCATTCTCCATAATCAAAAGGTAAAATTAAGATCTGCTTACTTTACAAGTTTACCTGGGGTGAGTATGCTGAGAAAATTCTCCCTGTTTTCAAAGACCAAAATATACCATTTTTAATACTTTAGTCAAGATCAATGGTGCTCAAAAATATCTACTAAAGGTTTTCGATTTACCAAATTCTAGAAAACTATCTTGACTTACAATTATGTTTCAGAAAGAGTTTCTAATTTGCAATGTTTTTTAGAAAGCATTTCAAAAGAAAGCAAATAAATAGTTTAAATATGTGCCAACATTCTCTGGTTGTTGTGATGATCAAGTTAAATCAGATATATCTAGCATGGTGCCTAGCAAACAGCAGGCATTTCAATTCCTCCCTCACTACACTGAAGCCTCCCATCTGGGTCCATAGTCTTTTCCTGCCAGCTCTTCCTGCGTTCTATGAGCCCAGGGATGTAGGTGGCATTAGTCTATAGCCAAAATAATTTTTGGAAAAGGTAAAGGTAAAAGGTAATGATTAATCTAAGTGTTTTGGGCTATAGGACTTAAAATATAAGTTTTACACAATACTCACAAATTTGCTTAACAATACACGTGGATATCAGGCTTGAAATGTTAAGTAGTAAGTAGGCCCATGAGATTGGATGTCCTAAATTCAATTTTCAGACATGAGTATACCTAAATAATTTTTTTTTTAATCATACTACACAGGTAAAAGCTATCACAAAACAATTTGGGAAATGAATGTCAATACTTTTAATTAAAATACCATATAATCTACTCAAATATTTCTCTTTCAAGCTAACTTTCAAGACACTATAAATTTGATATTTCTATCCCATGTGACCAGTAATTTCAATTATGAGACAGTCACTGTAATATTAAAGAGTGATAAAACTCTGGCTAGAGTAAAGTTCACATTTTATTTTTCTATTTCTCTAACTAAAGAAAATTGTCAGGCCAAAATTGTCTCTGAAAATATTCTCCTTTACAAAAGACCAATTTACCCCAATGGAATATCTTCAAAAAAACTACTGTATAGGAAATTTAACAATCAAAGCTGTGCATTAGTCATTTGCAATTTTAAAATTGCTTATTTGATATACTGTGTAACAAAACTTGTTCTTTAAGCATTTTATTAGAGCATCTATTTCCCCATTAGTGATGTAAAAACAGCATGCATAGGATTAAAATGCTTTCTAGACACTGGCATATAAAAAGTGGCAATGTTAAAAAGTCTAAAATTAAAATAATAAATAACCAAGATGTTAAACTTACCCTTTAGTTGGCAACAAAATGTATTTTCAAGTTTACAAAGCAAATCCATATTTTCATACTTATTTTCATTTGCGTTTACCCAGAAACAGTTTTCAGTCATTTCATGAGGTCTGATCTGCAATCAAAGAGAAGACTGGTTCATACATAGTTGCGTGTTCCACCTGTCCCAGTCCAATTGCTGTGTACAGACTCAAAGCTCCACAGCCACCAGCAGGTGTTTAGGAAGTCACCTCTGTTAAGATTTTTCCCAAAAGTGTGTTCAATGAAATGCAAGTTCTGCAGGATGTTACGGTCTTATTAGGAAGAAAAGGTTTCCACAATCAACTAGCTGAGAGTTTGAAGCTGAATAAAATGAAGTTTAATTGATTTCTTCTCAGTTGTGTTTCTTGGAGTCTTCAATAATGATACCTTCACTATGACTCTTGAAAGAAGGGATACATTATACTGCATTTCCCAAGTTTATGTGACCACAAAACCATCTTTTTGCAGGATCCAGAATTCCAGGCTAAATATCAGTTTCTGACAACTAGTAACAGCTTTCTTAATAGCTACCAACAGAGAAATGTTCCTAAGAACACTAACATTTATGCTTTTGAAGAATGTTTCATAAATATAGGGTTCAAGCTTTGGCCATCTTCCCCAGCTTGGGGAGGTGAAATCTCCTCTCTCTCTCTCTCTAATTTACAGTCTAAATAAACTATATTTTTCAATCTAGAAACAAAACAAAACAAACATAGAGTCCAATGCAATAACAATGAATTAAATCTTATGAATTAAATCTCATCAAATCTCATTGGAACAACTTATAAACCGGGAAGTCAAAGGGCTTTGTCTCAATACTTTTACAAAATAATGCCATTTTGTTTACTGCCACTTGATTAGGGTTCCCACTGAAAGTTACACACACACACACACACACACACACACACACACACACACACACACACGTAAATCCAAAATTAAGTTTTCATCTAGGTAAAACTATGTTTCCCTCCATTAATTTGTTTTACCTTTAACCAATTCAATCTTCTCATGCTGATTTCAGGTTTAAATTCTTTCTTTGGTTTCAACCCAAATGGCAGGGTTGGTGGAGGAGGAGAGTTTTGTCTACCAAGAAATCCTAGGGGAGGAGGTGGAGGCACCAGACCACCACCAAATGGCACTGGCATTACTGGAAGTGGAGGAGGGGGTGGGGGAGGGGGTGGAGGTGGCACCCCTCCACCAGGGGGCAGCATAGGTGGAGGAGGAAATGCTGGGCCCCCAGTTTCATCTTCTTTTGCAGAGGGCAAAGTAATATTCCTATCAGCTGGCAAGGCACCAAACTAGAGAAAAAATAAGAAGAAACATAAATAAGAACATGTCTACAAACTTGTAAACATATGCCTTACTCAAAAAATAAGATACTACTTTAAACCAAAAATTACAAATGTTTTCCAACTTAAGAATATAATTACAGCTTTTTTCATAAAAATAAAATTTAATGTAATTAAATTAAAAAATGTAATTGAATGAGAAGCATAATCCCCCATTTTGTGGCAGTTATGAACATATAGGTATAGATGTACAGGGTGGAAATGGGTATATAGATCTAGAAGATGTGAAAACCTGCAGTCTGTGAAGGACACTTGAAGCCACAGAAAAAGATAAGTTCACTCACAGTATGTAGAGAATATGTAGCATGAGAAAAGGTCTATGCACAGAATTCTATGGAATACAAGCATTTAAATGCTAAGTAATAATAATAAAGGACTGAATTGGCATGGCCGCACCATGCCTTTGCTCAAGTCTTCTCAATGGTGTCCTAAATCACTTGAGAAAAAAAATCTAAAATTCTTAGTAGGGCCTGCAAGACTATGTACTGATCTGGTCCCTGCCAACTGGTCTTTCAAGTGACTTCCTCCTAACTCCACGTGTATGCCAACTTCATGCTGATTTCAGGGCCCTGGTCCATGTTGCTGACCCCTGCCTAGAGCATTCCTTCCATCTAGCCATCTCCTTCTAGCCTTTTCAGTCTGAGCTAACATATCCCCTTCCTCAGAAAACCTTATCTGCCCACTCATTTTACACTCTTAGCACCTGTACTTCTCAATAGCTCTTATCTAAAGTGTGAAATAGTTATTTAAGGAACGACTAATATTTATGTCTTTGATAAAGTGTGAGCTCAATGAAGGAAGAGACACTTTTGTATTAGTCACTCTTCTTTCCCAAGCACCTGAAGCAATGACTGGTACATAACAGATATTTAACAAATATATAAACAAACAAAAGACAGGAATAGAAAAACTCATGCACAAGGGATCGTAAACCACAAGTGATGAGAGTGATCTACCATCCCAAAAAACTGTGTTCTATGGTTAAATGCCACAGAGAAGCAAGGTAAAATCAGATGTGAAAATAACCAGCTGTGTCCACTAGTCACTTTTGTCCTTATGTTTCCCATGGCATGACAATCTAATAAATGCATTTCGATTATCAAGAAACTCTTGTGGATTAATAATTGTTGGTAATATGATTCCTTTATTGAAATTGCTAAGTTACATACACAAACATATGAACTACCTTTCAAACACTGGGCATTTAGTAAGTATTAATAATCATTCTTAAAGTTTTATGGCACAATTGTGAAAAGACCATGTATATGACCTAAAATCATGACCTCTGAAATCCTCACAAAGAAAAACAGTGTTATAAAAGAAGTTGAGACCACAAATCAAAAAGCATGCCTTCTCAAAAACATTAACTATAAAGAAAAAACAGTTCAGTATTAATCTGCATTGCTGTGATCAAAGATGGTATTGCCTTTAGAATGTTAAGTATGTATGTACATCATACTTCACTCATATACATTTGACAGTCAATTAACATCTTAAAACAAAGACACGGTTACATTTCTGTTCATTTGATAAAGTATGAGGGATTCATTTGAACATATGCTCAAGAGGCCAGACACTGACCATCTTGCCCCTCACTACATCCCTAGCACCTATCAGTACTTGATTGTAAAGAGACTAAAGAAATGCTGACCATCAAAGCTGGACTGGATTAAAAAAATGTGGTACATATACACAATAGAATATTATGCAGCCATAAATAAGGACAAACATATGGACTTTGCAGCAACTTAGATGGATTTAAAGTCGATCCTACTCAGTGATCTATCACAGAAACAAAGAACAGAGTACCATATATTCTCACTCATAAGCAGACCTTGAACAATCATAATACTAAAAGGGATTGGCAGTAATGGGAAACTGTCAGCGGAGGAGGGGTGGGATTGGCAGTTTAGGGAAATTGCTAGGGAAGGGAGGGGCACACCTCATCAACAAGAGTACCTGCATAATCAATGTTTGTATACCTAACCCTGAATTGTACCCCACATCTTTATAATAAAGAGAGAGAGAGAGAAGGACTAAAGGAGCCAAGGAATGAAATCCCAGGTACAGGACCTGTGGGATTCATAGTCTTCATAGTCAGCAGAGTGTTAACAAAGAAAAGGATCATAAGATAAATGCACAGATTTCATCAGAGGAAAACTAAAATCCAAAGAAAGAACTTGCCAGTTCTTCAAAAATGAGTATGTTGGCCAATGTTAAAGATCTAATCCTAGGCTTTCTTCTGACAGCCATCAACACAGTCATCACTGTGCACAATTTAAAACAATTTAAGAAATTCCTTGATTTTTGTTTTAAAACATAAATTTGTTTTGTTTTTATTTATCTTTATATAAAAACACCAAGCAGCAATAACTGATCAAAAGATAGTAGATATATTTTTTATAAACTGGAATTTTCTAGAGTAGATTTACAAGTAATCTTTCAACTGGGAAAAATTAAGAAGAAAAGAAAGTTCTTAAATTCATAGTAACCCAGACCAGGAAAAGCTTGTCATAAATATTTCAGCCATTGTCTGTAACTCAATCTGAAGTACAGACACAGTCAAATGTTTCTTTTAATATGAGAGAAAGGGAATCACAGAAAGATGAAAAAAATTAATAAAATATGGTATTTCTTTCTTGCAGCACTAAAGAAAAGATCAATGAGACTATGTTTCTTGTAGATAAGAGATTTTAATTTTTTTTCTAAAATTGAACACTGCTAGCTATCTCTTAAGGTATCTTCAGAAAGCCTCTGTAACAAAAGTATCCACTAAGCATTTAAAAGAAAACAAAACTGCCAGTAATACGGGATACAATATACTCGAGACTATTTCAGCATAACCATAAATTAGGATAAAAGGAAAAGAGCAAAACTCTACTTACTGCTCTTCATACTGGATGCAAATCCACCTGAAGAAGTTTAGCTATGAATATTCTACCTCCTTACTCACATCCGCACGAGGCATGCAGATGATGTCCTTCCTGCTATCTAAATGTTTTATGTGTAGAGGGTGTATGTGAGCTATCTGCTCCATAATCCAGATTTATTCTCCTTTTTGTCATGTTTTAAATCTGTTTACTTTTGGAAATTGAAAAATTATCAGAAAATGTTCTCATTCAGCTAGAGGTTATCTTTTACTGCAAGGTACCCATAGGCTGAAGGTTCTGAAAAATAAATAGCTTGAGCAATGATTTTCTGTAGTGGGACAAAGATCAGTGATGAATGACAAATCTGAGAGTAAAAGACTTTTTTACCCTTTATGCTTAATTACTTAGGAAACATGTGACATTAGGAACAAAACATAAGGAAGTACATTAATTAGTAAAAGCGTAGATATTCATACAAATAGGAAAAAGTGACAAAGTAAATTTTTAAAAAGCAAACACAGCAGGACAGAAATACACATATGTTTATGTGTATTGTGAAAACATACAAGTGGAAGTAAAGATTAAACATTCTGATACTGTGAAGATATAACATAACCTTTGTTCCCTCGGTGTGCTTTCAACACTCAAATTCACTCAGGGTTGTATTTTACCTGAGATTTAAAAGCTTGTAACTCTACTTGAAGCTCATTAATCTTGGCCTCGTTTTTCTGCAATTGAGCCTGAGTTTCTTGGTGGTCGGAAAACTCTTTTTCAAACTGAAAAGAAAAAACAGAGAGAGAGAGAGAAAGATGGAAATGAAGAGCATAATTCTTCACACAGAAATATGACTCTAATGATTCATCAGTAGAATCCAAATTTCTGACTCGTTTCTATGAGGGGAGTGAGGATGTTTGCTGATTCACCCACAGCCTCTCTCTAGGCCCCTCCCAGTACCCACCAAGATCATTCATTCGCAAGAAACAGACAAAACCCAAGATAAAGTCTGTGACCTTCTCTCAGCAGAGCAAAACACTCCATAGTTGTCCGCAACCTTGGCATTTTTCTTAAACGTCTCTAAATATCATTGTGACTTTGAGTAAAATAAGAGAGAGCAAAGCATTGTGCCGAATTCTTGTCTACCCACCTGCAAGAATTTATACTTGAAACTTACCTGAAATCTATCACAACATGATTTTAAAAGATTCTCTTTTAATATTTTTGATTAATAAACATCTCCATTCTATTCATTCTCTCACTTTTTTCTTATAACAACATAATATCTCTTAATATCTTTGGGAAAGCAATGATAAATTAATCTTTCAAAGTCTCTAGTGAAACACCTCCTGGGAGGAAGGCAAACAATCAAATTCGGTGAGTCAAATGAGTTTTCTAATTATGTAGCCACTAATCACAAGTTCCCTTCTCTCACGCCAAGAGCTTCACTTTGCCATTATCATAACTGAAAACCTCTCCTAGCAGAAGGGAATTTAAATAGGGTATTGTCTCATAATCAAGAATAAGTATTGGGCTCTCTTTCTTAAAATGGAAAAAAAAATCAATCATAAAAATGCAGCTATTTCACAAATGTAACCTCTAGATATTAAATACACTCAAACCTCAATTAGGAAAACAGAACCAATATAGAACTCAACAGTTTGCAATAATTCGTTTACAAAGGGAATCTTATTTAGTCCTTAACACCAACTACACAAGGTTGTTCCTCTTCATGTACTGGTTAAAGATTAAAAAGCCAGATTTTCTGCTTTCAAAGTCTGAGTTCAGGTGACACCACACTGCCTCCCTACAATTAATGTTTAGATAATGCTTTACAGTTTTATTTTAAAAACTATTTTTAGAGCATTTTAGGTTCACAGCAGAAATGAGCAAAAGGTAGAGATCTTCTACACTCACAGTGTGCTCCATGCTTTACAGTTTATAGCACACAAAAAATTCTTAAATTCCATCATAGAAATTCTGTGAAGTAAGAAATATTACTTTAATTAGGCTTTCATAGGTAAGAAAATTTTAGACTACAAGCCCTCTCACTCTCAACCTTGTGTTCCTTTATAAAGGTAACAAACATAACTGATGAAACCTGTTCAAATGTCCTTCACCTCACCTAAACCACAGCAGCATTGCCATTCCCACTACTACCACAGCCTCAGCCCCCCTACCTTTAACAAGTGAAAAGCTATCAATACCAAGTCTCATCAGATAACTAATCTATACACCAAGCTGTGCAGAGGTCTGAGGCCCAGCCCACCCAGGGCTTCCAGTGCTTCTCCAGGACTTGCCAGGAGCTGCCCTCACATTGTCTTCTAACAGTCAAATTACGTTACTACAAAAGCAACCTCTTCAAAGAGTATTCTGAGTCCAAACTCACTTTTCTGATCTGCTGAACTCCATTCACATCATTATCCATCACAATGTAGCTACCATTCTGCCATTCTAAAACCCCGAATTAGCAAATTCCAAATCCCTGGACTTCTCTCAGCCTCAGCTTAGGTGATCTCTCTACAGTTGTGCTATTCATTACTGTAGCCACTGGTCACAGATAGTTATTTAAATGTAAATTTACATTAACAAAAATAGACAAAGTTAAAAATTCAATTCCTCAGTCATACCAGTCATTTTAAAGTACACAATGGCACACAGGACTGGTGACTACTGACCAACACAGATTATAAAACATTTCCATCATCCCATATGAGAAGACAGTCCTACTCTGGAGTCCTAACACTTACAAATATTCCTTTACATGCAAGCTGTCTTCTCCTGTTGCTCACCACACTAAACACACTCTTCTGGTTCTCCTGCTACCCTTTGATTACTCCTACCAGTTGTGTGTGAATATGTGTGTGTGTTTTATTTTTTTAGAGACAAAGTCCTGCTCTGTCATCCAGGCTGGAATGCTGGGATAGTCATAGCTCACAGCTGCCTTGAACTTCTGGGCTCAAGAAATCCTCCCACCTCAGTAGCTAGGCCTGCAAATGAGCACCACCATGTCCGGCTTTTTTGCTTGTTTGTTTGCTTGTTTGTTTTTGTAGAGTGGGGTCTTGCTGTGTTGCCCAAGCAGATCTGGAACTCCTGGACTCAGGCAATGTTCTTTCCTCAGCTTCCCAAAGTGCTGCAATTACAATTGTGAGCCATTGCGCCTGTCTACCTACCAAATTTTGCTACGGATTTCTACTCCCTCAAAATCCAACACTTTAATGCTGACATTCTGAAAAACTCCTTCCTCACCCCTCTGCTTGTCTCATTCTACATTTCTCATAATGTATGAGAAATGTGGTATGTTCCATACCCATATGTATCAATCACCATTCATACACTGATGACTTCCAAATCCCTATTACCAGCTCTGCTTCTCATCTGAATTCCAGACTACAAATCAAATTCATTCATGTATTTTCAGCCACCTAATGAAAACTTTTAAAGACAAACAAAAAAAAGAATATTCTCAAAACCAAGCTTATCTTCCCCCTGCTACAAACCTTGTTCTTTTGTTTGTTTGTTTTTGCTCTTTTTAATATGGCTATTCTTTGTAAAGGACAGTTCAAATAACATGACTCCTTTGCTCTTAAACCATCATTATAGTTCTTAATATCTAAAAACCCCTGTGATCTGGCCCCAACGTAACTATTTCCCATTATACAATAAATATCTAACAACATGCCTGAGATGTGTACCTTAGACTGGTAGATGGAGTTGAACAGCATATGGTCCGTACTTTTAGTAAGCACAGAGGCTAATGGAGAAGTCAAAGCAAAAAGTAAAAACCCTAAGCCTGTGAACACTGCCAGCAATAAAGAGAGAGAAGGAGAGACCAAAATAGAAGGAGTGAGCGAAAGCCAGAGAATGATTCATGAGGTCAGACTATAAGAACCTATTAGCACTGCAAGTAGAGGGAACAGCAGAGTATGTAGATGAATGGCATACAATACATTGTAAGAGGCACAAAAAGAGGTAAGAAAACAAACTATAGGACAAAGCAAAAGATGCACACACAAAGAAAATTATTGGTAAAAATTTGCAGTAAGTCAAAGGGTGATTCCTTTTTTCCTAAAAATGATTGGAAAGTTACTAGAATATGTATAATAAGAAAACAACATAATCCAATTTGCACTCCAAAAAACCCAGTCAGCAGCAGTGTAGAAGATGGGTTGCAAGAGAAATAACAAAAGCACGAAAATTAGTTTGGAGGCTACTGCAGTTATCCAAGCAAGAAGTGAGAGTTTGCATGAATTGAGGTAGAGGAGAGGATGATGGAAAAGAAATGACACAAAACTACAGAATCCAAAAAGCTCACCATCTGATGGAATGAAGGAAAGGAGTGGGGAGTAGATCTAACCACAATATTAAGTGGTTTTGTAAGAGAGAAATAAAGTGTTATGATTTGCAGAAAAATGAGGATATAAAATACAGAGATAAAAGGTATTTTTAGGGAGAAGAAATATGAATTTGGTTTTGGATATGTTAAACATAAGGCATGTATAAGAAATTCAGAATAAATTTATACACATCTCTTCTCAGAGATCTCACATTGTTGTCTCATACTTATCACTCTGAGCTCACATTACATATCACCTTCTTGGATCAGCCTTCCCCGGCCACCTAAGGCTAGATGAGGAATCCTCTAGGCTAACATACCAATAGGGTTTGTCTACATAGCCACTGTCACACTGTACTATAAAAATATCAAAATGTAGTATCGCTAGCCTCCATAACACTCACCAGCCTGGAAGCTCAAAAAGTGAGGACCTTTTCTATTTTATTCATCCAATGTCTAACATTTTCCAGTATCTTACATTTATAATTAAAGTCAAACAAATATGTGTTGAATGAATTGATGAGCCAACTTCTGTCAAATCTTCCTTTCTTACGTTGAATGTCTGTGTCAATATCATATATTAACATTTCCCACTCTTCCAACATCAAAGAAAAAAATCTGAGAAATCATTTTCTCTGTTTCCTTTTTTAGGACAAAGACAAAGTTACATAGCAAAAAATTTTAAAATATATATCCTTATGAGGGTAAGAATGGAGAAGGCTTTTCATAATATCAATATGTGCACTATCGTATCTATACTAAAATTCAGAAGAAAGAAAGATTATTTAGGGGATCAAAGGCAAAAACTATTAAAACAACCAGAGTTATTATTAGTACATGCTAAGAAAATTTAGTAAATTAGCTTGGTCATACGGAAATGATCGCTATTACTTACCAAAAGATAAATTTCCATATCCTCCCCTATAAAAGGATCAGATGAAATACAAACTTTGTTTTAGCATTTTTGTAATATCTATAGTAAAATCATGGTAGCCTTTGGGATAAAATGAATCTCCATTAAAAGTATGCCTTATAAAAAATGATATGATAGCCTTCTTCACCAAAAAAGAGTGAGTAGAGCAATATTACACTTGCAAAATTACAAGCAAAAATGTCAAAAAACACAGTTAAGGTTGAGGCGCTGCTTAATTTCATTCCCCAGGGTAAATGTATTAGTGCATCTGTACAAGAAGGTTGATAATTCAATATTCTCTATATACCTTCTGACATTTCTGGTCTTCATTTTTCAAATTTATGCACCAAACTAAAGAATGTGTCCAGCAACCATGATAGCTTCCTGCCTAAAGCAAAGTATTTACATGTGTGCTTATAAAGCTATCAGAACAAAGTTTTTGCTGATCTATACAAAATGATATGGCAATAGAACTCTTTTATGGAGCAAACAGTATTTTCTGAATACACCTAAGACATATAATTTATGACTAAAAGGAGAAAACTAACCTTGAACAAGGTCTTTCTTCTATTTACATTTAAAGCTTACAATTTTTTAAAAGCTGTTGAGAAAGTTACCATGTTTTAACTCCATTCATTTATACTGTACACCTAAGAATGATAACAAAAGCAAACGTATACTATCTGGAATGTATCCAAATCAAGTTCTTGAAAGTTACCACTACTTTCCCATAAAGAGTGAATATGCTTACTGAGCTTAGACTACAAAGTTGGCTGGATTGAAGGGTCACTCTATGACATGAACATGTATCAAGTATAACACCATGCCACTTAATCTAAATGATTCGTTTATTTGTTTCCCCCACCAAACTAAGTCACTTCAGGGCAATGACATCCTAGTCACAACTATAATCCTAGCCTGTAGTCAAAGACTTAGGATATAATAACCTTTCAGTTAGTGCTTGGTGAACTCAACATTTTAGAACTTTTCAGACAGGACGTTTATAATGTTTTTCATAGTTATTCTTAACTTATGAAAGGGTGCATATCATTTGCAAGTTATGTTTTATCTTCAAAGTGTATAAAAATGTGCAACTGCCTCAAGATACAGTTAGTATCTGCTATGTCAAAAATGTATACTCTGTCGCATGGTGCCTAGCACTCAGTAAATATTCATTTAGTTAACATTCATTGTGGACTCATTGTGGTGACAGTTGTAGTAATAATTATTATCCCTTCAATGTCAGAAACCTGTCCCAATAATTCAGATCAGAATGATTACTTGACATGTGGAGAATCCAACGAACAAATCAAAAGTCTAATAGATACATGCTAAGCCAGAGATAAAAGACAAAGTACTATCTTAAAAATAGGAAATGGCTAGATGGTTAGATATATTTCTAAGTTTAAATAAAAACTGATAATCGCTGATAGATATGACCTATGAAAATGGAAATGTTATAGTGCAATTTAATATAATGAAGCAACCAACCTTAACCAAAACAAAAAAGAAGTAAACTTCTAAAAACTCTAGGAATATGACCTCAAACTTAGAGGGCTAAATTATATGATTTCTTGAGAACTATCCCAATCTTAAAATTTTGATCCTATACAATTTACTAAATCATCTATTCATTCAAAAAAAATGTTTGATAAGTTCTTACACAGGGCCAGGAATTGTTCTTGGTGCAGGAATAGTGAATAAAACAAACAAAAATGCCTCATAAAATTTATTCTAGAGGGAGAAATAGACAATACATTAATAAATACATAAACTATGTAGCATAGCAAATATAATGGAAGAAAAACAAATAAGAAAAGAAGAAAAAGGAGGGTCAAGTCTGGGAGAGAGGAGGGAACTTTTTTAGCCACAGTGATCTGTGAAGTCCCCTTGAAGGATGGCATGTGCACATACCTAAACAAGGTAAAGAAGAAAGAAGGAATAACAAAGTCTTGAAGGCAGGGCATGCCTGCAGTGGTTCCCCACATAGTCTTCCAAAGTTAGTCAAAGTTACTTACTTTCTTGTGAAGTTCTGATGCTTTCTTTTCAAACTCTTCCAGTTTTGCTTGATCAACACAAACATCTAAAATTGCAAAAACAAAACATTTTTAATTGCAGTACTTCTTAAATTAATTGGCTTCAAAAGTTTAGAAAGAAAAAAATCATAGAAAAGAATTAAGTACTGCCAATAATAAACAAAATGGAGAAAAATATTATAATGTTGGAATGGAAAAAACAAACCCAATTAACAATTTTAAACTTCCATCGTGTAAGAGGACAAGAGTTCAACTGTAACAACAGTCAAAGGTGTCTATCATCAACCCATAAATATTTTAAAGAATAGTGAATGATATCTAACACAAGCTAGAAAAACAGGCTACAATAATGAACAAAAAATTTTTTAAATTGAAACTAGACTTCGCTGAAATAGATAAAGGAACGTTGGTTTTCCCCTAATAATATGAAAATAGAAAAATTTTAATGAGAAACCACAGCAAAGATTAAATAAGCCATAATACCAAGTGTTGGAGATGGCATGGGAAAACCAACTCTTGTACACAATTGTGAAAATATAAATCGGGAACTTTGCTGATGAAAAATCAGGCAATATGTAAAAAAAATTTTAATATTTTACCAAGTAATTCTATTTCCAGAACTTTGCCATTAGGTAAGAATATTCATGAAAATACTGTTTATGTGAACAAAAACAACAAAACTGGAAATAAATACCAATCAATAATGGATTGATTAAATAAGTTGTGATATATAACCACATGATACAATATAATGCAGGAGAAGTATTGTATCCCTTTGTTCTTTTTTATTAAATGAAAGCAATACATAAACATAGCTTACAAAAAAAAAAAAATTACAGGTCAGGCACAGTGGCTCACGCCTGTAATCTCAGCATTTTGAAAGTCCAAGGCAGATGACTGCTTGAGTCCAGAAGTTTAAGACCACTTTTTTTAAAGAAGCTTTTAATTTATTTGAAAAACATGTTACAGAAGAGTTTATAACGGAGAGTAACAGTTAATCAAATCAAGGCATCAAAATCTGTCTCACTTCCCAAACACAATCTCTCATAGCTCTTTCTGTACTAGGTTATTCTGGTGGTTAGCTTCTTAATTCTAAATAAAAAGTATGTAGCTATTATTTCTAAGTTATTAGAAATTATAATGTATAACTTATAAGTTGTTATAAATTATATAACTATTATCTATTGAAGACATTGTAGATAAATTTCTATTATAAAACATGATGGCAGTGTTCCCTATGTAATCATAATTTTAGATACTTTTATATAGTAAATTGGCTGGCTACATACCACTAAACACTTAACCCTATGAAGCTTATTACAATAAACGATATCTCTAATTCCCACTATCATATATCCACTGATCTGTGCCCTATGTTTTCCAATACTTTTCTCCCCTATTGTCCAACCTTGCATCTTCCCTCACCTTTTCACATAAATACAGTGACATTCTCATCTGCATTGAAGTCTTCTGTATTTGTCTATAAGTTTATTTTAACCATTTAAAAGTAAATAAGTGCAATTAATTTATTTAAAAGATGTTAAGTATGAATCACTTACATAGCCAAACAGTGTTCAAATATTTTCTTCCCTTCTCAAGGGTTCAATGACAAAACCTCTCACCTACTCAAGAAAAACATTCCTAACATCCCAGTGGAATAAGTTTTCTCAAATATTATTCAAAATAATTACACAGTTTAGTTTGCTGCGTTTTGGGAGAATGTTTTCTTAATTTGTTACCCCTTCCAACCCTCCAGAAACTTCTACTTGCTTCTCTCCTGTAGCCAGAAATAACATTTTCTTTACCAATATCACTAATGTCATTCAGTTTCTCACTCACCCTCTACATTCCATTCTTCTTCCTGGACTCAGATACTATAAACAACCTTGGGCAGGTACATAGATGAAAAACAGATGTGGATTTTAATAGCCCTTTCAGATAATTGTGGATATTCTTCTTAATGGTACCTTCTTAAACAGTAGTTAAGATGTGGAATCACATATCAATGAACTTGTACTTTGTTACTCTAGACTCCACTGATCAATGTTGCACTTTTAATGGATCTTTTGCCTATGCATAATATGTAACATCAGGCACTGGTTATACAGAAAAAAGTGGTTTGCTGAGTCATGCATATCTTCTGAATGTTAACACATCTCTTTATACAATATCAAAACAAATAATCATATAGGTTAATATACCACTGACCTCATCAGAAACTTTTTTTAGTATCGAGAAGCTATGAGGCTAACAGCAGCAATTACAAGTTTTCCAAGATTCAAATTTTCACTTAAAAACTCAAATTATCTCCTTGTCATTAAATTTTATCAGTCATGTTCTTTAGAGTTATAGCCTCACTTCATTTCATTTTTAAGAAAGTGTGTGCCAAATCCTCTAGTTAGAGTAGCCACAGTTTGTATGTGTCAGTCTCTCAAAATGAAGGGGAAAAGAAAAATCAGCCAATTCTGCTCACAGCAACTCAATTACATAAATATTTTCTTTTTTTTTATTGAGTCAGGGGTCTCACTCTGTTGCCTAGGCTAGAGTACAGTGGCACTATCACAGCTCACCACAGCCACAACCTCCTGGGCTCAGGCAATCCCTCCACCTTAGTCTCCCCAGTAGCTGGGACGACTGGTGCACACCACCACACATAATTAATTTTACCTAAGTATTTTCTTATTGTACATAGGTATGTAGCAGAAGTGCTGCATGTACATATCCCATTTGTTAACAAAGAATATTAAAATAATGTGTGTTCAAGGGTCAATATTTAATAAAAATAACAAGGACATTCTTAAGTAAAAAGTGGCAACTTTTGTTGTTTTGTTTTACTGAAAATAAAGAATACAATTACTACCACTATAGCTCAGTGTCACAACCTTGATTCCTACCAAAGGAAATCCACCATTGCTCTGCACCATCAATCAAAACATCAGCCCAATAAAAAATGCAAATCATTTTGACTCTTAGGAACCTCAGGAGTCTGCAAGCCACATTATGGAACAAATACCCTAGAGCTGACCCATAAAGTAAGAGACAGTAATTAATAGCAAAATACTCACCTACAAACTGGGTTAAATCTAAATCTAGTCTTTTTCGATATGTGAAGTCTGGATCCACTCCATCTCTATGCAATACGATCTGGGATACACACTCATCAATTAACTTGAAGTATTGCTGCCTAAAATCAAAGAAAAGAGTTAGTGTACAATCACCCCATTAGTCTAACATTACATTAAAAACAAAATACTTTTCTGGTAAGATTGATTTCAAGTTCAACAATTTATTATTAATAAGTTTCACAATTGTCATCACTTTCCTTGTAATGATTTCAGAACATTACATTTTTTATACTCTTATAGGAAATATAGTATTCTTTAACGACAAATTTTCTTACAAAAGTCAGACCCTTGATTTAATTAGTTGAAAGTAAAAGACTAAGATAAAGTCCTCAGAGATTATCAGCTTTCTACTATACCACACTACCATCCATTTTATTAACACAAGCCAAAAATGTTTCCTAAAATGTTTTATGAGCAGTTCTTAATACCATACAGTACACTCTTTTTGCAATGCTTCTGAAATCAAATTAAGAACTGATAGTTGGCTGGGTGCAATGGCTCACATCAGTAATCCTAGCACTTTAGGAGGCTGAAGCGAGTGGATAGCTTGAGCCCAGGAGTTCAAGATCAACCTAGGCAACATAGCAAGACCTCATCTGTTAAATAAATAAGTAGTCAGACATGGTATCATGAGTCGTAGTCCCAGCTACTCGGGAGGCTGAGGCAAGAGGATCACCTGAGCCCAGCAGGTAGAGGCTGTGGTGAGCCATGATCATGCCATTGCACTCCAGCCTGGGTAATTTCAAGACCCCATCCCCCCCATAAAAAACCTGGTAGTGCCAATTATATATCAAATTAATATTTCTTACTAAAAAGAAAATAGAAAAAAGTTATATAGTAACAATATTTACCCAAAAAACAAAGTTTAACTAAAATCCCCAAATAGAATAATAGTTCATGTTGTCACTATAGTTAAGTTCAGTCCATCTACATTTATAATAAGCTAAAAAGACTTAACAAATGTGAAATAGACAAAAGATTTTATAAACAAAATCAAATTAAACTGATAGACAGGTGGGTACTATTTCAATGAGGTACAGTCCTCCATACCAAATCACTCCCAAAAACTTATTTTGTTCCTCAATGACTTAGCATACTTTTCCTCTCCAAATCCTCCTAGTCACATATGTGCTGTCCCTCAAGCCACTTGGGTTTTCTTTTCCTATGACCTACTGTCCTTGACCTATTTACTGTACCTGTAATAAACCATCTATTATGATGACTAAAACTTTTAACACCTTAACATTAGCAAAGATGACTAATGATCATTTATTACCATAAAGTAAAAATATTCAAGAAATAGTTCCTGGGTACAAATCAAAGAAAGTGTTATCTATGCTTATCTCACTTTTTCTCAAGTTGTTTCAAAGACATTTTTTCCCCATCTCCGAATATTTTTGCCATAATAATCATATTTACGCTAAGATACAGATGTTTCACACAAATTTATATCAATCACATTTGAAATTTTAGATGAGGTGTTCCTTCTATACTCTTAGTCAATGTTATTCTAATATTGTTTTTAAAGTAACAATGTTTTAAATCAACAATAAAAGTTATTTTGTCTTTTTAAGAAATCACAATTTTGGTAAATTTTTCTCAGCTCCACAATGTTCAGTTATAAGTTAACTTATAATGCACCTGAAATTTCATGCATAAACTCTTTTGGCAAGTCATACTAGAAAAGAATAATATGCACTGAAATGTAAAACCAGAAAATAATCTCTATGAGTAATACTGGTGAGTTAGCTTATATATCTGAGATATATATGAACAATTAAATTAAGGAATAAATATAAATTGTCACTGCATTACTAATAAAATGCCATTTTTGTTAGAGGATGTTTTGAAATTATTTTCATTTTCTCTGTAGTATTCTTAACAAATACCAGAAATTATCTACCATGCACATTCAACTAGCATGGTATTCTGCACATGCAAGTCTTATTATTTGGTACAAAATTGAATTTGATCTTCTTTCCTGCCCAATTATCTTGCTGCATTTCATTTTTCCATCTTTTCCTTGAGGAACAGGAGCTGCTATGACATACATTCTCTAAAAGAATTCCACTCCGTAAAATTTTATTTTGTCCCAAAGGTGAAAATGAGGAAAGATTCTAATTTTTCCATACACTAATTCCTTAAAATGAGAACATTTTGCATTCCTCAATGAAACAATCTATTATTTATTTTATTATTTTATTATTTATTTAATTCTTTTTTGCTCATATCAAAAGTAGTTTAAAAAGTTCATTAAACAACAATGCTCTCAGGTCATCTAAGATTTCTGAAAAAGTAAAATACAGGTCCACCTGAGTTAAATAAAACCAAAAAATTAAGGTAAAACCAAAGGAACAGCACTCACAGACTTGTACAACCGTAAGAGTGAATTTTACTATATGGAAATAAAAAGCCAAATAAATAAAAATGTTTAAAGATGAAGGTATGCCAAATATATATAAATGACCACAATTCTAACACACTCTTGTAATAAAAGCATAATCTTTTTTTAAGGAATACTAACAACAACAATAGTAAATAACTATGAGAGTTTAGAAACACAGGGTGGTGGGGGGACAGAGGGAATTGTCCTGAGTACAGCAGTCATAAAAGAACACTGCTTTCTGCCAACCATAGTGAAGGAAGGAATCCACACAAATGAGCAGTAAGTGTAAAAGTTGATATTCAAAAGATGACCAAAACAGTTAAACTACAGTGCTTCACTAATGCCACCTTAGCAAAGCCACAATTTAATATTTGAGACTGCTGGTTTCACTAAAACGATAGGATCACCTGAACATACACTAGGACACCTGCGTTTTTTTAATCTCTTTAGAAGCTAGACACAACCACATGCCCTCCTGCAGCACAGATGAAGGGTAAAAAAGACACAACACCTGCAGCACTACAAATACATTCAAAGCCTAGAAAGCAAACAACGGTCTTGAATTCTTGGGAACTCAAAAAGCATCAAACATCCAGAGGCTCAAAGACCAGCCTTACACAAATCAAAAAATGTATGAGGCTTAGAATAAACAGATTTCAATTTTATTTTTAAGTGTATTTGGAGTAGAAATATAGTATTATAATTAGCAGAGTACCAATGATATTTTAAATAATTTTTATTTAGCACTTGTAAAGTGGGTAAACATTTAAACTGTTACGTTTTATTTTAACAAAATATAAGAAGCAATTTAAACACCAAAATAAGTTATTAAACTCATGTTTTAGAATATCAGTGGAATTTCCAGCTACAAAGAGAGAAGTCCGAGGCATGTCCTACACTCCTCCCCCAAAAGAACATACAGCTCGGACATCTTGACTCTCATTCTCTTCTCATTAGGAACGTCCAAAATCCACTGAGTTACACCCACTGACATCACCCAGAGGACATGGTCTGAATGAGACTTGTCTAACAAATTCTACTACTTGAAATTAAGTAGAAAAAGAAACAATACCCATAGTATTTGAGAATGAAATCTCAGCAAATCTAAATTGGTGGCAACAAAATAGATTTTAAATTCAAAGATTCCAGCTTCCCTCATAAAAGTAAAAGAACTATAGAGAACACTTACTATGATACAGAGAGCCTACACCACATGCCAGAGGTTTGGCTAGGAGTTTTGCTACTGTATTTCACCCTCATCACAACCCAGTGAGTTAGGTGCTAATATCCATATGCAGCTGCATTATAATGTAGATAAGACAGAAGAAGGACAAATAATTTGTTAAACTCAGACAGTTAGGATACAATCAAACTTGAAAACCCATTTGAGGGAACGGGAGTGAAAAAAAAAGAAAAGTTTTTGTCTGGCTTTTCTGATACATTAGCAACATTAAACTCAACTATGTTATTAAGGCTCTTTCTAGCTAATAAAATACTAATAAAAGCAATGTTTAGTGCCCTTCATGTAACTTATAAAAAGAAACTTATCAACATCATTCCTCCTGCCTAAGGAATAACCAGAAAGTATAATCCATCACATGATAAACCAGTAATTTGTTGCTATTTCACGTTTTTATTCAGATGAAAGGCTGTAACCAAGAATCCACTGGCACTTAAAAAGTAATAGTAATATCATTTTACCTTCACCTATCTGAATGTATTCCCAGAGGAAACAACATATTCTATGAATCAATATTATGACAGAAATAAAAATTATACGCTTATCTAAATCAAAGGTCAGGTGAATATCACAATTAATAGATTTGTATTAGTTAAAGAAAACATTAGTATATAACCTCCTCTTACCTTATAAAATAATCATTTCGGATCAGCAAAAGATGCTGAAGAATAGAAATAAAATATCCTTCTGCTCCAGTTTCCTTAACTGTGTTCCACACCATGTTATAAACATCATATGCTTCAGTGAGCTGATTAAGGAATATATGGATTTATTTATATTCTACACAAAAAACTGTAATAATATGATAGAATCTGTTCTGCAAAACTTTGAAGCCCTCATACAGGCATGTATATTCAACCTAAAACATGGCTACTTAGGACTGAGGGTGGTAGAAATACTCTGGAAATGGCAACTTGATCTGACACTCCTAAATTCCCCTCTACAATCAACATTGTTGAAGCTGCCTCTCCTGGGAGAAGCCTCCCCTCCTTGCCAAGTAACTGCTAAGGGACAAAGTAGTAGGGCAGCTCATCTTGAATATCATCTAGAGTTTCAAGGGTACCCTGACCGAAAGAGCTGGTGCCAGGCATTTCCTACCATGGAGAAGCCCAGTTAAGGACAGAAACCAGCGGACCTCAAGATCACAGACATCTGCAGACCCACAGAATTAACAAGGAGCCCATGTGAGAATGTACCCAAGAAACAGGGAAGCAGCAGCCAGCCAATTGAGGCTACCATATTCCTAATACTGAAAAACACTGGGTAGGAGAGGAGGTGCCAAATATAAAAAGAAAAAGAACAGATTGCACACATACAAATGGGAAGCTGCTCAAACAGAATCCATTTGTTAGCTGTAGCGTATTTACATATATGTGTATTTATAAAAACACACAAACTAGGCTGGTGGCTAGTGGTGGCTCACACCAGTAATCCCAGCACTTTGGGAGGCCGAGGCCAGAGGACTGCTTGAGCCCAGGAGTTTGAGATAAGCCTGAGCATCAAAGCGAGGCCTGGTCTCTAAAATACATTAAAAAAAACTACCCAGGCATGATGGCATACACATATTATCCCTGCTACTCGGGAGGCTGAGGCAGAGGGATTGCCTGAGCCCAGAAGGTCGAGGCTGCAGTGAGCAATGAGCGTGCCACTGTACTCCAGCCTGGATGTGAGAGTGAGAACTTCACTCAAAAAGAAGTAAAAACTAAAAATAAAAACACACAAACTAATAAAATAATAACATTCTTCTGATGCCTAAAAGTTTGATTTAATATTGTTTACTCAGTAATGTGTTAAATATTTGAGGGAGTGTGGTTGATTACTTTGAATCTAACAGTAATTGTACATATTATTTCATGAGACTTCAGAACAAAAGGATATTCAAGTTCAGCTCTAATATCTTCGAGGCGTTGGAAGAACTCAATCAAATCTTCTTCCTTATGCTCATCAAAGACTTTAAGCTGGATATCCAGGCCATCACTCTTAATGTGTTTTAAATTCTAGAGATATTAAACAGAAACTGTGATGAATGATTTTTGGTTTTAATTATGCAAAAGAATTAATGAAAAACATGTAAACAATAAACCAACCATTCAACTTGATTTATAGCATTTGAACATTTAAAGTGCTAAATAATACTCAAATCTTATCATCTATATTTCAAAAATAGATTTTCTTACTCAAGCCTTTTCCCACAGATAAATTATTCTTGAAGGTAATTTATCTAAATTTCCCCCTAAGTACTCTTCTAATTTAAATATTAATAAGAAGACTGCGGGGCACTTACTGGCAGTATCTCTTTCAATCCACAACGCATAAATTCATTTCTGATATGAAGCCTGAAATCCAGATCATCAGGAGATGTAACAAGGGCATTGATGAACTGCATGCAAGCTACCTACAGCAGATGACACAGAAAGACTTAGACTGGGTTTCCGATATTAAAGAAGGAGTAACAAAAACGAAACATCAAGGTTTTGTTCCAAGTATTATCAAATATATTTCCTATTAAAACAATAATTTGTAAGTGAACTATTTTAGTCAATTATAAGTTATAAAATAAATATGGTTTCAGAAAAGCTTTTAATATCTCATTTTTTTGTGGATTACAGAGGAGAAAAGGAGTAGAGAAATATTATCCATTGGTATTGCTCTGTAAAATAATTCACTCATAACCAAAGTCAAGTTCTTGTACAACAGTATCATTCCACATATACAATAGAAACTGAACATATCTTCACTGAAAACTATAAATATCTATTGGATGGATAAAACCCAAAATAGCATAATAAAATAATTTTCCATTCATCAAGAGAAACCTAGAGTTTCAAAGACCTCAAGGTTAATAAGGGTCTTCTAGTTAACAGAATTGGTATAACGAAAAACTAGATAATGAACAACGCATAATTAACTCCTAGAAGTTAATTTTTCAGGCAATGGTTCTCACAAAATGACAAAAATTCAAAATCGCTGCATGTTTTGCTTCAAGCAGAAAGAAATTACATAGTTCACAAAATCCTTTAATATATAATTTATGATAAAAATTGAAAAATCAAAAAAAATTTCAGTTCATGGTTTAACATTTCAACTTCTCCATTTTTTTAAATCCCTGGCTGAAATACATCTTTCATCATCCAAAATCCACAAAATGAAAGCAAAAGAGATTCTCTCTCGAGAAGTATTCTTTGTTTTGTTCATAATGTTATTTTTCTAAGTCTACACTCTATCCAAAGTCTAGTAAAAACTACTGGACTACTGATCAATATGTTTAACCTCATGCTGTTCCCTAAATTGTCTTTTCTCCATCCCTTAAGGCAAGGTTTATATGAATTTAAAATGCCATTTTGAAGTAAGACACCAACAGGGGTCTCAGTTCCTGCTGGCTGAAATATATAGTAATTGTTATATTTGATATCTACGCACTAATATCTAACCAGCATGCCACTACTGTCAAAACTTATGATATCTTAAAGTGGGTATGAAAAATGTGTCAGAAGAAAGGAGAAAACACACTAAAAAAAAAAAAAAAACTTAAAGCAGTCTATCTTTCCTGTACATGTCCACTCAGCTGTAACTAGTTCGTGTCAAAAAGTCAACTTTAAATGTTTCCCTTCCACCTTCTTGCCAGACATTACCCAATATCCAAACATTTTTTACAGCAATGCCATGTATGTTTAAAATATCTCAAGGAGCATATAATGTTTCTCTACATTCAGAAAAACTAAATCAATGTTATCACCCAGTTTTTATGAAAATATAAATTACAGACAACTCAAAAATAAGGAACATAAAAACTAGCAGCAAATATTACCTAAAAGGAAAGTAGATACATATAAACAACAGTAGCAGGAAATCGAGGAGAAAGGGGAAATGATCATTCCAATTATTTTCAGGAAATATTCTATAAGGTAATTCTCCACAGAAGAAAAAAAAAGGAAATTAAATTGAAATAATGAATTAATTTAAATCTACAAAATCTCTTCCCTATTCTAATGATAAGTTGCCACTATCATGGTCTACAACCTATTTAATTTTTGTCTGTGAATAAGTATGCACTAAAATGTATTGATGTTCCTATACTGATTTAAAAAATATTTAATAAAGGTAAAGTTCAAAGAGTTCCTTCCAGATTTTTAATACATATGCTGAGATATACAGAATGGTGGTATCACTTGATTTCACACAAATTTAGCACACAAGCAGAAACAGGTGCCAATCCAGCATTACTGCCATATCAATCAATTCCTAGACATTTAAAAATGGTTCAGAAACTACAAAGGTAAACAGGATGTGTTGTCTGCCCAAATGAAGATAAATCGGTACAATGATAAAAATATACTATGTACTAGAAGTGATGTGTTTGGTATATAATGAGAATATGTAGACACCATACAAGAACAAGGATAGCTGAATTATAGTGCAGATTCAAGGGCTAATAAGAAGGAAGCTTGACGAAGTAGACAGGGATATTCTATACAGAGGAATTAACATGTGCAAGGACACGGGCCCTTGAATTACAAGTAATTTTATGAGTAGTTTGTCAGGGTGAGAAGGGGAAAACAGGAGTCAATAGAAATGGGGCTGGACAAGCGCACAGGTGAGGCAGAGCCTGTGAGTCAAACCATAGAATTCAGATTCAATCAGAAATACTGGAAATCACAAAAAAATGTATGCAAAAGAGAGCAATAATAGAGACAAGTGATTCAAGTTAAGAAGCTATTGTAAGCCGGGCTCAGTGGCTCAGCCTGTAATCCTGCACCTTTGGGAGGCTGAGGTGAGTGGATTGCCTGAGCCCGCG